CCAACTTCTAACCTGGAGGCTGTGACGCCCTTCTCTGTGGCAGAGGTTCCGCAGCTCTCATCAGGTTCAGGCTGGGTCAGGCGAGAAAGTCCACGTGTGTGTGCTCAGCTCAGGGGGCAGCTTGGACTAAAACCTGAAACCAGAGGGCTTCAGGGAGGGCCGGAGTGAATACGCGGCCAGGCACACGGGGGTGGGGTCCTCCTCTGGGTATGCATTCTCCCTGCCCTGGATTTGGGGAGGGGGGACCACTAGGAGAGAGGAAAGCTAAGGGAGGGATCAGAAGGTCAGCCCTGCGAAGCACGCTGGCTTATAAAAGACCAAGGACCTAGATTTTGGAAGGCTCACAGCAGGGGATTAATTTTCCCCTTTCCATTGCTTATGGATAAAGAACATTCTCTGCCCTGCCCACAGCTCAGCTAGGCACAGGTGAAATAACCATGAGTAGGTGAGCAATACTGGGCAGAAATCTCCTTGATTTTTCTTTCCCACCTCCAGCTACCCCTCCTCACCTTGGGGCTCAGAGACAGTGCGAGCACCTTCTCATCTCCCTTTGTTGAGGTCCACCAAGGACTGGGACAAAGTGGAAAGTAGAAACTGAATATTAACAACTTGGGGGCAGCCATCTCTCCCCTCAAGCAACAGGCTCATGGTGTGAGAGTTGAGAGCTGACCGGACGACGGGAGGACTCAGCTGGAGAGGGAGCTGGGAATTCCTGCCAACAGAGGCAAGAGGAGGTCCTACTCTGCTGCCTTTCAACTTGAAAGGAGTCAAGAGCTGGTTAAGATCGAACTCTCTCGAAGACCACATAGAACCCACAAACTGCTTGTAGGGTGAGAACTCACAACGGCCGAGGGGTCAAGAATGCAAGTTCTAAAGGCAGACTGCCTGAATTCAAGCCCTGACTCCATCTCTTACCAGCTGTTTGACATTAAGTTACTTAACCTTTCTGGGCTTCCAGTTCAGCTGGAGCGATTAACTTATCTCAAAGTGCTGCTCGTATGGATTCAATATTAAGAGATGTGCTCACAACAGTGCCTGGCACTCAGTGAACACTCACATTTGCCAAGTCTACCATGGCAACCCTAGGACTCCAAAACATAACCACAAAAACGCCACCTCATTAGGCTTTTCCTGTTTAGAATAACAAGGATGAGAACTAAAAGAGGGAATGACTGCCAAAGGGCTGGAGCTGTTCCCTAGGTGGGGACTCTGGAGGCCTCAGTCATTATGGTCCAGTGAGTGCTGGCAGGGAACGCAGGGGGCTACGGAGAAGGAAACCGGGATCAGCATGTAGATCAGACCAGCGGTGCTGAGCTAGTCACAAACCCTCATTAACTGCTGGCACTCAGGGTGACAGAGACAAAACAAACAGACCAAGTAAACGCATGGGACTCCGCTCCAACAAGCAGTGACTCAGTGAGAGGGGGAGGCCTTAGCTTGTTCAAGCGGCTCCTATGTTCCAGACAGCATGACACTCCGTGGGCGCTCAGGAAATGCTAAAAGGTCCTAATGAGGACCAAGCCCCCCTGCTCCAGTAGCACAGGCTGAGGCCAGGCTGCACCTCCCAGCGCTGCCACAGGCTCCCTCAGATGGTTTTAAAAGACAAGAGCTGGGCAGGAGCGGACGGGCAACACCACTTAGATGTAACTATTTCCTCACTCCAGTACCTACCACAGTTTAACAGTGGGGAAGAGTGCTGTAGGCAGGCCAAGGAACTTCCCTGTAAGTTCTCAGGTGTGGAGTAATAATGAGAACTGTTTTTTTGCTGAAGGCTTTATGTATCTATTTATTTATTTTAAAATGTATTTTATTTATTCTTTACAGAGAGGGAGAGGGATATTAGAAATATTGATCAGCTGCCTCTTGCACACCCCCTACTGGGGATGTGCCCGCAACTGAGGTACATGCCCTTGACTGGAATTGAACCTGGGACCCTTCAGTCCGCAGGCTGACGCTCTATCCACTGAGCCATTCCAGGTAGGGCTATGTATTTATTTTTAAAAAATATTTTTGATTTCAGAGAAGGGAGGATAGAAACAAATTATGAGAATCATTGATTGGCTGCTTCCTGCACGCCCCCTACTGGTGATGGAGACCGCAACCCAGGCATGTGCTCTTGACCGGGAATCGAACTGTGACCTCCAGGTTTATGGGTCAATGCCACCCACACCAGCTGGCAGAGTTTTAATGAAGTCACATAGGACTATCAATGGAGAATCCCTTTTCAGCCGCAACTCCCATGAGCATGTCACTTTCCTTGCACTTCCTCTAAAACAAATCCACATTTAAACTCTTAAACACGAGTGTATACAATGAAAAGCTCTGCTGAAAATAAACATCTCACTGTTCTGCAGAGATTTCCTATTATAAATACCTAACAATTATTAAAAGCTATGTGCTCAGTGGAAGAATTCTAGCAGGGGGTACTGGTCCCTGTGGGGGATAGCCCATGGGTGGGATGGAGATGAAATACTGACTGCCTGGTGTAGTGTTGAGGCCCCAGATGATATATTTTCCTGGAGAGCTGACTGCATGGACAGCACAAGCCAGCCAAAGGCTACACACATCTTGTCCTTTGTGTTACCTCTCACTGAAAACTGGAAAGTTGAAATTCGTTAAAAACCCCTAAAATCATTGGCTGAAGCTTTCACCTTGCCAAAGCTGTCTGCCCAGAAATGGCCAGCAGAAGCAAGATGTCCTTCCACTAATGTGTAAACGTCCTAACACGACTCCCTTTGCCTCCTGCGGTGCTAATAACAGCTGTGCTATCCAGGTCTCTCCTGCTCACTGTTCTGTCTCCCGTCTAACAGACTGGCCAGCTGCCCTGTTCCCCTGTAGTTGGCAGAGCTTGAGGTACTAATCCTAACCCTTTCTGGGCGGAGATCGTGAGGACTGAGCTTCCCCATCAGCCCCTTCTACTCCAGGCTCGGTGGCCCACCCCCGTGGCCATGGGGACCCACTCCCTAAAGTGGACCATGGAGAATGGCAGATGTCCATCCACTCACACACACACTTCCAGGGAGTTAAAACTTGGCACAGATGCACTTGGTATCCCATCATCTGCCAAGATCACCTCCCATCTGCTAAAGAGGAAGTGGCCACACAGCCTGCCTGTACCTCAGGCCTGTGCCACCTGAGGCCACACATGTGGACCCCTTTGGGCTTCTCATTAGACAGGAATCACGCAAGACAGTGTTTGAAGCATTGTTAATCCGTTATGATTTATTAGCTGTACAGCAGTAGATCCTCCTCCCCAGCTTTCAACCCCATTACGTATTTTATTACAGGTCTCATGTTGGTGTCCTAAAATAATGAAAAATATCACACAGTACAGCTAAGTACAAAATGTATCAACCTAGAGTCTGACAGCTAACTGATGGCTCTCTTAAAAGCAATACACAGAAGAGAAAAGTGTTTGAAATCAACAAGACTGAGGCTCTCTAAAAAACACATTTTAAACATGACAGTTCATGTGCAAGAATCATTTATAGTTGGTTTCACTTCACATCATTAACCGCCCCCCCCCTTTTTTTTTGAAGATCCAAAGTTTAAATTACTGACCTAATGAAAATTTCTGGCCCAGCTTTTAAGGGACTGCTGTGACCTGCTCATAATCACCCTCCTGCTTTAACAGAGGATTTATAAAACAGAAAATTCAGCTACAAACAGAGCAAAGAAAATGTGGATGGGAAATTATAACTGAAAGTTAATTGTACAAGGTTCAAATGCTGGCTCCATGGGCTGGAAATCACGATCTTCTACATGGGCGTCCATCTCTAGTGGGCAGCAGTCTGGGTGCCGTTCTGCTACATGATTGCAATCCAATTCCTTGTCAACATTTACACACTACAGTCTGTGGTAACTTAATTTGCAGGTAATTAAAATGCTGGGTTTTCTTACACTGCACTTCTTTTCAACCTCTTAATTAATGGAAAAGATTAAAATGTAAAAAAAGTTATTTACAAGCTTGACCATACCGGAAACTTTGCCAAGAAAGAGGCAAAGCCTTCAGGACAAAAACCGATCGTAGCATGCCGTATTATTGGTGTGCAGCCGACTCCAAGCAAAGGGAGTCAGGGAAAAAGCAAAAGCAAAAACCAGTTTAAAAGTCTAAGTCCTTCCCAAGTCTGCATTTACAATTAAAAACTCTCCTGGGAAGAAGACCGTAGAACTCTGGGCAACCCGGTGGCTGTTCTGGAGTGGTTTACCATAGCAAGGAGGAGGGTCCAATGTCTGTTTCCATCTAAGAAACCAGTTAGGCGTCAACACTGTCCTCAGCACTTCCTGGTAAACCCCCAGGGACTCGGAACATTCCATGATTTGCTAACATCAAATGGCAAGTTCTAGTTAAATCACATTTTCCTAACATCATCCTTGAAGTTTTAGTTCTCAGTATGTTTGGTAAAACGGTGTAAAACGGTGCTTTTCCCAAAGCCAAAAGAAGAAAAAGGGAGAAAAATTAAGATGCAGGCCGTTTAAACACAGCCCTGAGCAGTCCTGGTGAAGACAAGGCCCTGCCATCACCGGTCCATCA